TGATTCTACTTCTTGACTTCAATTCCCTGTATCCCAGCATCATCCAAGAGTACAATATCTGCTTTACCACCGTCTTTCATTCAAAGGTTAGTTTTCACTTTGTTTTTAAGTGGTTTGTCAGAAAAAATTTGGTGTGCATTCTCAATAGCTTTTGATCATACTTCTTAAACTTTTTGCATTTTCATAAATTTTGCTAAGAATTCTTACTAGGAAGGATTGTTCAGGATGGTGACGATCTCCCAGACATACCCTCATCCAGCTTGTCTGAGGGTATCCTTCCTTGTGAAATTCGCGGTCTTGTGGAGAGACGAAGGCAGGTCAAAAAGCTGATGAAAGATGCACCAGAATCCAAGAAAAAACAGGTTTTTGATCATTTGGTCTTTCATTACCATCATAGATTATTATGATTGTGTCTTAGTATGATATTCGTCAAATGGCCTTGAAGCTAACTGCTAACAGTATGTATGGATGCCTTGGTTTCAAGCAGTCTAGGTTTTACGCCAAACCACTGGCTGCCTTGATTACTTCTAAAGGCAGAGAGGTGAGCATCTCATCTTTATGACTAAAGGAAGTACCAATTCCTTGATATTTTCAGATTTTAATGCATACTAAAGATTTGGTAGAGAAACTTGGTTATTCTGTAGTATACGGAGACACTGACTCAATCATGATCAACACTAATAGCACGGATTTGAAGCAAGCAAAAAAGCTGGGCTTTGAGGTGAATCTTGCACTCGTTTTTGTAGTTATTCCAGTATTAGTTGCTCATCTGTTATAAGATGTCATTGCTGTTCAGATCAAACGCCAAGTCAATCAGTGCCATCGTCTTCTTGAGCTTGAACTTGACGGTGTATTCAAGCGCATGCTTTTGTTGAAAAAGAAGAAGTACGCTGCTCTCACTGTGAATCCTGATAATGAATTGGACACAAAGAAAGAACTGAAAGGTTTGGATATCGTCAGAAGAGATTGGTCGCAATTAGCGAAGGAGGCTGGGAAGTGAGTTTTAAGGTTTTTTCCTAAATCTGATTTGCTGAATCTGCATTTTAGCGCTGTGGTAGATCTCATTCTTGATCCGAGACTGTCACGTGATGAGCTGGTGCTCGAGATTCATGAATCTTTGCAGAAGTTGCGAGGGAAATTAGATAAAGGGGTAGAACTGACTCTGTTTGAGATTAGCAAGGTTAGTTTGGAATTCGAT